TTCAGAAAGCTAAGTATTGTAGATGTTTAATTTCTGTTTGGGAGCTAGGCCACTGGAGTTGCATAATTAGAAACATTTTAAGTTATACCTGAAATGGCTCACACTCCAAATGGAGGAAATATTTCCTTCATTACCCCTGGAAACATTACCAGGAAACTTACCATCTGTGTGTGCACAGGTTAGAAACTATCTAATATATATAAGAGATAATAACTGCTGGGCTCTTTACTGGATATTCGAAACAAATTCCTCTAAGGAAGAATCATGCCCATGGCATCCAGAGAATGAAATGCAAGAATTAATCTGCCATTGGGTTTTGGCTCAAAGGGACTGTGACCTTGGAGGATTATTAGGGTTTTAAAATGTCAATTTAAGGAATTATGGGTTTATTGGTGATGCCAGTTTTTTTAATTGGCCCCTTAATCTGTTTAGCTTTGCCAAATGGAACACTAGCTTCACATTTGAAGTTCAAGACACAAGTCCTTTAGAAGGTGGCACCATAAGGGAAAACAAAAACAATTTTGGAAGTGCTTATATAAATATAATGTTGAGATTGTTGGAGCCATGGTATCATCTCCATCATGAGGTTTGGTCTGGCCAAAGTACAGAAATAAAGATATATATTACAAAGAAAAAATTTTGCATTGCTGATTGGAAGATCAGCAAGATCTTCAGATAAGAACACAAAAAAGGAGTCTGAACAAAAAGATGTCATTCAGGCCATGGCCTAAAAAGCCTCATGCAGGGTTTGCCTCAGGGATGGTAATAAGCATATTTTTAAGATTCCAGATATCTATCTCAATAAAACTACTTCTGCATAATTTTACAAGGTCATTTTGTGGATACTCAAGGCCAATAACCAAGCCCAGTTTTCTACATAACAGTATTGCTGTATAGACCAAAAAATCAACCATAGGGAACTTGATTTTACCAGACACATCCTGAGTGCTTTTCTTATCTCGGAGCTTGTTTACATGGACATCTCTTTATGGTGAATGAGTGGTGCTCAGCATTTTCATAAGGTAAATTTATATTTGTTTCTTCTGTTATTAATTAATTGATTAACCATTCATTTGATTTATCCATTATCACTGGAGAAATTATGGAATTTCAGACAGGAGATAACCAATCCCCCATGGCAATCCTTTGTGGTATACAATGTCTATAAGATTCAATGTACCTAACAAATGCTCATATTTTAGTCTTTGTTAGATGATCCATGTTTCCTCAAAGGAGCCTTTATATGGAACAATTCCATACCTCTTTTTCCCCCATTGTGTCTTCAGTTGAACATTCAGGCAATGATTATTATAGTGATACAAGGTGAGATGATACTTTTGATCATAGATACAGGCCAAAAAAGAAGCTAGGACAAAAGAGAATGCCCATGTAAAGTCAATAAATATGTTTTATTCCTTTTGCAAAATGAAATAATAGAGGATTGATTTCTTCCTGTATCATCTTGACAGGATAGTATCTCTGGAAAGCATAACTTTGTCATTTCCAAAGAAATGTATAAGAAGGCAGAAGAGGATATCTGTCCTTCATGGCCACTGGGAAACATGATGCAAGTCAGTATGTGTCCAGGTTAGGAAAATATCTCAAATAAACTTCATAGTTGACAACAGCAGAAGTCTGCATTTGTGTCTCAGACCACTTCCTCTAGAAAAGATTGACCTCCATGGTGTACAGAAGATGAGAAGCAAAAATTCATACCATGTATTTCAGTTTGTGGACACTGAAAAAAGATTCAGATAGCTTACCTGTGACTCTGGTGGATTGATAAAACTTCCTATGACAATTTAAGAAATTGTGGGCTACAGATGTCCATTGACAGATGAATGCATAAAGATGTGATATATATAAAATGGATTATTAGTCATTAAAAAGGATAAAATCTTATTTTCATCAAAATAGATGGAACTGAAGGGTATTATGCTAAGCAAAGTAAGTTAATCAGAGAAAGAAAATTATCATATGGTTTCATTCATATGCGGGATATAAAAACAGCACAGAGGATCATAGGGGAAGGGAAGGGACACTGAATCCACGGAAATCAAAGAGGGAGACAAACTATGAGAGACTCTTTACTATAAAAGAAACAAACTGAGGGTTGCTGTGTAGGGGGAAGGGGTTAATCAGTGATGGGCATTAAGGAGGGCATGTAACATGATGAGACCCAGGTGTTATATTCAACTGATGAATTACTGAACTCCATATCTGAAACTAGTGATAGTTTATAGTAATGTATTATATGTTGGCTAATTCAATTTAAATGAAGAAAACAATTGTGAGCTATTGGTATTGTCAGATTTTCATGATGGGAAATCTGACAAAATACATTTTACCAAAAAAGGACACTGGTATCCATATCACTCGGGAAATTTATTGGGGAAAATGTATGTCTTAAAAAATGAAACAATAAGGAATACGAAAAAAAAAACTTTTTCAAAAGTACCTTTGTAGAAATAAATTGGGAAATTCTTCAAAATATTAAAGCAACTCCCTCATGACCTCATATTTTGTGGATCACATAAGTTCATCTGTACACTAGGATGATGGAGTATATTAATCAGAATTTAAATACTGTTAGCAGGACTTCGAAGGTTGATATGAACAAAAGAAACATGACTTTTGAAAAATGGACTGAAAGTTCCAGGGCAGGGATTTGATCTTAAGGAAAGTATCTCTTAATGATGGGAGATATGGTTTCCTGAAAAATAAATCTATATTAAATTACATTGTCAGTTCACAAGTGTTCCAGAGATATATTAAATTGTTCTTCAAAGAAAACGAAATTGAAGCCAAAAATTAAAAAATCTAAAAAGTAAAATCATTAAAACAGCAGAGTTTATATAACGAATCAAAAGAGGCCTACAGATGAGGGTAAATCTATAAACATAAAAGAAGACTATGGGCAAATTTAACATGTATTTAGGAAAGTAGGTATATATGGATTTATTGCTACATTCTAATAAAACATCCATTAGTTCACTTATTCTGGACACATTTGTGTATTAAATGTTTGATACATATATAAAGAAAATGCATTGGGAAAATGACACAGCTGTAAAGGTGTTTCTGAAAAAAAACCCTACTTCTCATTAAACAGATGGCTCTGGAGAAGGAAGAAATCCAAAATGCTCAAGCATATATCAGCACTGCTAAGCTACCGGAAGAGGACCAAAATTGTGTGTACGGGGGCATCATGCCCTGTAGTAACCCTGGACCACTGATGGGTGGTGAATCAATCATACACAGCTCATCACTGGGGTCCGACATTCCGTGGTATATCATTTAAGGCAAGGGCGCAGGATCTTCTGCACTCTGATGTTTCCCTCAGGTCTCCTGTGGTTGCAAGATGGTATCACATGTTGAATCCCAGCACCACAAATTCAGAACAAGCAACTCTGGCACACAAAGACAACTGAAACTGCCTAGGATATTTGAAGAGCAGGCCTAACACTCTCAGAACAGGTCCTCAAATCAAGATCCCATGGAGAACTCCATATCACCTAATTCCAGACCAGGGAAGCAGCCCAATCAGGAACAACCTGGGCATCATGATATGCATTAAAAAACCATGGTAAGAAGATTCAAGGGGGAATTCCTGATGATTGGGACCTGCTTTGCATAGGACATTAGTAAAAAAAAAAAAGTTCACTCAAAGAGAAATGATGACATAATCATGCTTGAAGAAATTCTATTGAGAATGAATGTACAGGACAATACCATATTGTATCCTTGTCAATATGACCTGGAGGGCATTGTAGATTTGGAATAAGAAAAATGATACCTCAGACTCCCCTCTGTAGCAGGGACATGTCTGAAGAACACCAAGTGAACAAGATAAACTCAATTATTCACCTTAGGTAACCACCCATTGCTCAACCCAAGATTCCTATACAGATGCAGTTGAATAGCATAGATGGTACCCTTGAGGTTTTCAGTGGAACATGCTGGCCAGAGTCTAAACTCTGCTACAAACACGTGAGGTGAGCAAATGTCTCTGGGCTGGGACACAGGCTGCAGTCAACTTCGGGGCCAAGGGGAGGCAAGCCTGAAGGTGACACGAGACCCAGCATCTAGGTGAAACACCTGCAACATCAGAAAGGGTTGACAGTTCCAGGAAGGTCTGGCATCACCAGGGTGCAGGAATAGGTGGACCAATAGGTGGCCAGGACAGCCCAGAGGGAACCCAGTGTCCAAGTGGAGCTATGGGCTTCTACTGCCCTTGGCTGCCAGGATGGCAAGGGCTGACCCTGGACCTGGTAGGAGGCACACAGGTGAGCCTTTGGGTCAATGGAGATGGTGCTGGGCCCCAACCATGGGTACTTAAACTGACGGGGCCACTCAGGGAGCCCTCCCTCCCAATCTCAGACAGGGATCACCTGCTTGGGTGTTGGAGTTGCTAGAATTCAGCGTGCCCTGGGCCATCCCATGCTGCCCTGTGCCCTGGGTCCCAGAGTCCTCCAAAGCCCAAGGCCCATCCCGGCCATCCTGCTATGACCAGAATGAGGGCTAAGTCCAAGTCCATGCCCTCCCTGGCATAGCCCACTACCCCAAGACCCAACGCAGGTCCAAATGGGAAGCCTTGGTGTTTGGATGGCTGCTGAAGGATTGTAGGCACATATGCTCAGCACCATTTGGGGGAACCCTTGAACTGAGGCTTGTTAAATTTGACATGGGGTCCAGGGTTGCACCCTATCAAAATACTTCTGGTCCCAAAGATGGGCCTGAAATTAACATACAGAGCACTGAAATATGCTTGACCCACCACAGCTCTGCACCCTGGGATAGCTGCCACAAGGCTGACTTCTAGACGACTGGCATTCTCTCTGCCAAAGGACACCAAATATATTAACCCATCCTGCCAAGCCCTCCCAAGGCCACCTCAGCTTGGTCAAGGTGAACTGAAGTCTCCAGCCAACCAAGCCCTAGAAGCAAAACCGGTAAGCAACTTCAGGGTGAAAGGCCTACAACGTGGAGAGTGCTGTGCTGTGTCAATGATGAGAACTCATATCGTCTCGAAGAGAGATGATGACATAAAAATCATGCCCAATAGGCTTACACTGACACCCAATGGAGGGAACCAACCCCAGTGGAGGATACGGGGACTCCAAATGGTGCTGAAGGTGCTTCCACTCAGCCTGGGCTTTGAGGCCCCCAATCCTTTCAAACTGCCCATTGGACCTGGGCCCTGGACATGGGCTTCCGAGTGCCTGAGAAGGCTAGGGCTTTCGGGCCTGGGTGCTGACCCATTGCTCCTCCCACCACACCTCCCCTGGGGCCCTTGCTCAGCCTCTCTGGTCCCCTTGTGTCTTTCAGGAGGCCATGCTAGCCGGGGTCTCACCACCGCCACAACTAAGCTTGGTGAGTGGATGCCACGAGGCGGGTTGCAGGCCTAGGTGACCTGGAGGCCTTAGAGAGGAAAGCCTGAGGGGGACTTGGGTTCCTCTGTGCAGGCCCACCAATGCAGGGATGGATAGTGTTCCTGCCATTTGAAGGCCCACCATCCCCAAGGAGCAGAGAGGAGTGGACGCAAAGGTGGCCAGGGGAGCCCAGAGGGGCCCCAGTGTGGGTGGCTGGGGGGACACACCAGGCAACAGGGAGCAGGGGACTCCTGCTGCTCCCTGCAGATCAACAGGGGCACCACCTCAGTGGACTTGGGGTTCCCTCTCCTGTGAGAACCTGAAGCCTCTTGGCTGGGCCGTACCGCATCTAGCCAACTCTGCCTGGGGTGGAGCCCTGGGCTGGGAGCCACCAATGCCCCCTGGGGCCTACCGCCTCCCAAGGAGGTTGGGATTGGTTGATCAGGGGGAAACTGGTTCCCTCACCTGGCCTTGGAATTCCGGAAGGGAAGGGCAAGCTGGGGCCCTGGGATGGGCATCTGGGCATACATTCAGGCCATTGGGGATGGCCAGGGACCCAGGCCTGGGCCCTCAAGAGCTGGTGGCTAGCCCGGGTGCTCTTGCTCCCAGTCCCAGACAGGGATCTCCTTGCTTGGGTGGAGGGAGGGGTTGCAGGAATTCAACCTACCCTGGGGCCCTCCAATGATGCCCAAAGGACTGGCTCCTCACATCCTCGAGGGCCCCGAGTCTACTAAGGCCATACACCCCTGACCAGATTCGGGGCCAAGGCGAGGTCTGAGCCATCCTAGTATTGGCCCGCCAAGTTTCCCACCACCTGCAACCCAAGGGGTAGGTACCCAAGGGAAACCCTGGTGCTCAATCTGCTGCCTGGTGGTGGCCCAATTGTTCAGCCACCTTGGGGAGCCCTAGTCTGGCTATTGTGTGTCCCAGCACAGCTTTGGGGCCATATGCCCTCTGGGATCTCCTGTGTTTCCACCAGGTGGGCTTCCAGCTTCAATCCCGAACACCCAATGCCTCATTGAGTGCCTATGGCTCTGCTCCACAGGGGAGCTTAGCTGCCATCTGGATGGCCGTCTAGACGGAGGGCTTGCTCCTATCACCCCAGACTCCAAACCCAATTGATCATGCCACTGCACCCTTCTGCACACCACGTCAGCTGGATCCAGTCTTAAGAAGAGTTCCAAGGGCTACAACACACAAGGCATGCCGCTTGGCAGCAAGCACCACTGGTAAGCTGCTTCAGGGATAGACGCCCACACACGTGCCCAGTGCTATGCTTGGGTCAATGATGAGAGCTCATAATGTCTTGAAGACAGATGATGATGTAGAAATCATGCTCACTAGGATTACATTGAGGCTCAATGGAAGGGACTGCCTAGGGCTACAAATACCAGGCGGGTCTTCATGTGACACTAGGGGTGCTTCCCCTCAGCCTGGGCCTTGAGGCCCCCAAACCTTCCAAACTGCCTATCAGGGTTGGGGCCTGTCCATGGGCTTCAGGGTGCTTGAGAGGGCTCAGGCCTTTGGGCTGGGTGCAGACACATCGCTTCTCCCACCATGCCTCCCCTGGGGCCCTTGCTCAGCCTCTCTGGTCCCCTTGTGTCTTTCAGGGGACTGCGCTGTCCAGGATCTCACCACCACCTCAACAAGGCTTGGTGAGTGGATGCTGTGAAGTGGGTCACAGGCCACGGTAATGAGAGGGCCTTTGGGAGGCAAGCCAGAGGGCAACTTGGGTCCCTTGCATGCAGGCCCAGCCATGTATGGCCAGATAGTGTTACTGACTTTGAAGGCCCACCATCCCCAGGGCGCAGGGAGGAATGGGCCCAAAGGTGGCCAGGGCGGGCCAGAGGGAACCCACGTTGGGCTGATGGGGGGCCAAGCAAGGCCACAGGGAGCAGGGGACTCCTGCTGCTCCTTGCTGATCACCAAGGGATGCCACCTTGTTGGAACTTGGGTCCCCCCTCCTGTGGTGGAATGATGAGACACATGGCTGGGCCATGCAAGGTTGAGACACTGCTGCTTGGGGTGGTACCCTGGGCTGGGATCCACTGACCTCCCCTTGGGCCTGATGCCACCCAGGAGGTTGGGACTGGTTGCCCAGGGCAGGAGCCTAGTTCCCTGACTTGGTCTTGGCAACTGGGAGGGCAAGGGGTAGTTGGGGCCCTGGGGTGGGCATCCTGGAGGGCTTTGGGTGGTGGGGATGGCCCAGGGCTCCGGTCCCTAGACACTGAAGCCCTAGCGACTGTCCCAGGTGCTCTTGCTCCCAGTCCCAGACAGGACACACCCTGCTTGGGCAGAGGGTGCAGTTGCAAGAACTTGACATGCCCTGGGGCCCACCTATGAGACCCAAAGTCCTGGGTCCCCAAATCCTTGAGGGCCCTGAACCTACTAAGGCCATACTGCCCTGAACAGATTGCCGGCCAAGGCCAGGGCCCAGCAGTCCTAGTCTTGCCCATGAAGTTGCTGGCCACCCACAACCCAAGGGGTACCCAAAGGAAACCCTGGTGCAGACCTGCTGCCTGGTGTTGCACCCCATTGCTCAGAACCCCTGGGGGGCCCACATCTGCTATTCGTGTATCCCAGCACAGCTTCAGGGCCACGTGCCCTCATGGGCCATCCTCTGTTTCCAACAGGTGGGCTGCCCACCTTACATCCTGAAACTGTAACCCTCAATGAGCTCGCACATCTCTGCTCCACAGGGAAGATTAGCAGCCACCCGGAAGGTCAACTACATAGAGGGCTTGCTCTGATCTGGACTGAATATGAATGCAGTCGATCATGCCGCTGCACTGTCCTTCACACCACGACAGCTGGGTCCAGTCTTGACAGGAGGCCAAAGGCTCCACCCACAAGGCACATGGCTTGTCAGCAACAACACAGGTAAGCTGCTTCAGGGGTAGATGCACACACACATGACCAGTAATGTGCTTTACTCAATGATGAGTACTTATATTGTCTCTAAGACATGATGACATAAAAACCAACTCAAAAAAATATGCTAAGGCCCAATGGAGGGGACCATCCCAGGCTGAAGATATGGAGGCTAGAAGGGAGCTGGGGGTGCTTCTCCTGGAGTTGCAGGCCACAGATCCTGCCAAACTGCAAGGGGGGCTGGGGCCTGGCCATGGGACTCCAGTTGCCTGAGTGGGGTGAGGCCTTCGATCCTGGCTGCAGAGCATCCGTCCTATCTTGACCGGGAACCATTACTCAAACTCTATGGTCCCCTTGTGTCTTTCAGAGCACCAGTGTGTCCAGGCCACATCCACCAACAAGCCCGGATGCCCTCTGCAAGTCCGGTTGACACAGGGCAAGAGCCATGAGCACCCAAGCTCTGACGGCCTTCCCAGGAGCTCTCGCTCTCCGGGCACACAGGGATCTCCCTGCTTGGGTGGACGGTGGGTCTGCAGGGACTCGACGTGCCATGGGGCCTTCCCATGATGCCCAAAGGTCTGCCTCCCCGAGCCCTCAAGGGCTCCACATCTACTAAGGCCATTCTGCCCTGGCCAGAATGCCTGCCAAGGCCAGGTGCCAGCCATCCTGGTCTTGGCCCGCCAAGTTGCCCACAGCCCGACCACCCAAGGGGTACCCAAGGGAAACCCCAGTGCCTGACTTGCGCCAGGCTGTGGGTCCCGTGGCTCAGCCCCCTTGGGGGAGCCTTCGTGTGGCTGTTCGTGTATACCAGCACAGGCTCGGGGCCACGTGAACACTTGGGCCCTCCTCTGCTTCCACCAGGTGGGCTGCCCACCGCAATCCTGAACCCCGAAATCCTCGTTGAGCCTCCTCCTCTCTCAGGGAAGTCCACAGGGAAGCTTAGCGGCCACTCAGATGGGCGTCTAGACAAAGGGCTTGCTCCTATCCCAAAGAGGCTGGACCTGGTCGATCATGCTGCCGCACCCTTCTGAACACCACGTCAGCTGCGTCCAGTCTTGAGAGGAGGATCAAAGGCTCCAGCCCAGAAGGCACGAAACTCATCAGCAAGCACTGCCAGTAAGCCGTTTCAGGGGCAGACGCCCACACATGTGGCAAGGGCTGTGCTTGGGTCAACGATGAGAATTCATATTGTCTCGAAGAGAGATGAGGACTTAAAAATCATGCTCAATAGGATTATGCTGAGGCCCAGTGGAGTGGAGTGGAGTGGACCGTCCTGGGCAGAGGATCCGGGTGCTCCGGTTGTGCTGGGGGTACTTCCTCTTAGCCTGCAGTTTCAGGCCCCGGATCCTGCCAAATTGCCCTTTGCAGCTAGCGTCTGGACATGGGCGTCTGTCAGCCCGAGAGAGCTTAGTTGTTCAGGCCTGGGACCGACCCACCGCTCCTCCCACCACACCTACCCTGGGACCCTTGCTCAACCTCTCTGGTGCCCTTGTGTCTTCCAGGGGGCCGCGCTATCCAGGCCCTCGGCCCCACCTCAACTAAGTTTGGTGAGTTGACGCCGCGAGGTGGGTTGAAGTCCAGGGGACTGAGTGGCCTGCAGGAGGCAAGCCTGAGGGTGATTTGGGTCCCTGTGTGCAGGCCAGGCCCACCTGTGCAGGGATACATAGTGTCGCTGCCTTTGAAGGGCCACCATCCCCTGGGTGCGGGGAAGAATGGGCCCAAATGTAGCCAGGGAAGCCCAGAGGGACCCAGCGTGTGCGGCTGGGGTGGGGGATGGGGGGCAAAACCAGGCCGTGGGAGGAGGTGGACTCCTGTTGCCCCCTGTTAATCACTATGGGGTGCCCCTCGGTGGACTTGGGGTCCCCTCTCCTGTGGATACCTGAAGCCCCTCAGTCAGGACATGCGTCTAGCCACCGCTGCTTGTGGTGGTGCCCTCGGCTGGCATCCCCCGGACATCCCCTGGGGCCTGCCCCCTGCCAAGGAGGTTGGCAATGGCTGCCCAGGTCCGGGGTCTGATTCCCTCATACGACCTTGGCATTGTGGAAGGCAAGGGCTCACCAGGGCCCTGCGCTGGGCATCCGGACGTGCCTTTGGGCCACTGGGGATGGTGTATTGCCCCAGTCCTGGGCCCTAAACCTCTGGAGGCCATCCCGGGCACTCTCCCTCCCAGTCCCACTCATGGCTCTCCGTGCTGGGCGGAGGGCCTGGTTGCAAACGTCAGACTGCCCCGGGGCCCTCCCTTGATGCCCAAATCCCTGGCTCCCCAGTCCTGCCGGCCTTTAATCTACTAAAGCCATTCTGCCCTGACTAGAATTTTGACAAAGTCCTGGTGCCAGCCATCTTAGTCTTTGCCTGCCATGTTGCCCACTGCCCACCACCTGAAGGGACCCAAGGGAAACCCTGGTGCCCAACTGGATGTTGGGGTGTGGGCCCCCATGTTTTAGCCCCCTTTTTGTAGCTTTCCTGTAGCTCTTTGTGTATCCCAGCACATCTTTGGGGCCACTTGTACTCTTAGGCCCTTCTCTGCTTCCACCAGGCAGGCCATCAACCTCAATCCTGAACCCCCAAACCCTCGTTTATCCCCTATGGGTCTGCTCCAGTTGAAAGCGTAGGTCCCCCTGGGATGGGTGTCTAGATGGAGGGCTTCTCGTATACCCACAGACCCTGAACCCAGTTGATTGTGCTGCTGCACCCTTCTGCCCACCAAATCTCCTGGATCCTGTCTTGAGAGGAGGATCAAAGGCTCCAGCACGAAGGCATGTAGCTCGTCAGCAAGCACCACCAGTAAGCTGTTTCAGGGGCAGACGCCCACACACCTGGCAAGGGCTGTGCTTGGGTCAATGATGAGAATTCATATTGTCTCAAAGAGAGATGATGACATAAAAATCATGCTCAATAGGATTATGCTGAGGTCCAATGGAGGGGACTGTCTTGGGCGGAGGAATCGGGTGCTCCAGTTGTGCTGGGGGTGCTTCCCCTCAGCCTGGAGTTTCAGGCTACGGGTCCTGCCTAATTGCCCTTTTTGGCTAGGGTCTGGACATGGGTCTCTGTCTGCCCTAAAGAACTTAGTCCTTTGGGCCTGAGGGCCAACCCTTGCTCCTCCCACCACAACTGCCCTGAGACCCTTACTAAGCCTCTCTGGTGTCCTTGTGTCTTTCAGGGGGCTGCACTGTCCAGGCTCTCACCCCCGCCTCAACTAAGTTTGGTGAGTTGATGCCACGAGGCGAGTCGAAGTCCAGGGGACCAAGGGGCCTTCGGGAGGCAAGCCTGAGGGTGATTTAGGTCCCTGTGTGCAGGTCTACCCGTGCAGGGACACATAACATTGCTGCCTTTGAAGGCCTCCCATCCCTAAGGTGCAGGGAAGAATGGGCCCAAATGTAGCCAGGGTAGCCCAGTGGGACCCCAGTGTGCGCAGCTGGGGGGCAACTCCAGGCCACGGGAAGCAGCGGACTCCTGCTGCTCCCTGCTTATCACTATGGGGCTCTGCTT